AGAGGGCGCTTAGAGAAAAGAGGGGATGAAGACCCTAAACCCATCCGTGCCTGCTCCAAATTATCCCACAATGGCTATTTTTTTTGTCTGTTTTCAAGTGAAGCACCACAGTGCATGTTAGCATAAGATCTTTTCTTTATTGGAAGTTTTGTTGATTGTGTAGTCCTCTCCTACCTGTTCAAAGTAGCTGTTCCATGTGATGTCATCTTCATTAATGGTTAGCATTTGGTCTGCAGGAGCTTCTGGATGAACCTCTCCAATTTTCACTTTAAAAAAAGATTGATTTGGGAAAACAAGCCAGTTGGTAATATCATACCCTCTTGTGACTTCTCCACTAGTATCAAATGAAATTTTCTCCCCAGCACTGTTGTTAAATGACAGACTTTTCAGAAAGCGGTGAAGCTAGATTGAACAGGGAAGAACAAACTTAGCTCAACTGTTCATTGAGACGCAATGTACATGCTAATACTTGCTTCTTAATGCAATATTCCTAAAAAGAAGCCTATTAAATTCCTTTCATCTGACCATTTAAAATTATTTTTTGATATATGATTTTATTGTAGTTATCACACACATTCAGATTTTCTTCTGTTCTTTTTTGTATGTATTAATTTCAAAAGGAATTTTGTTGCCCTCCATAGGTTGGGAGATTTCAAAGGAAATGAACCCTCAACATTGGGTTCTTCCTGAAGAGCAAGTATTCTTTGAACTTGTGGGAAGTTCACCCCTAGGTGAGAAGCATGGTAAAATGCAATCCCCAAATTCCTAATTCAGTACTGACATTTTGATAGAATTAGTCCCACAAAGACTGAGACTATAACTGGAATTCTCTTCCTCAGACAATACTAATTAATGATTATGAAGAAATGCCTTACACCCTCAAATTTACATCAAAATTAACAAGAATGTCTCTGCACTCTGAAAAAGTTCAGAGGGTACAAAAATCCTTTTACAAACTAGAAGGTAGACAAGGGGAAAGTGGGATACGTATGACTCATCTCCCAGCACCAGAGCCATCCACCTCCATAGATAGGAATATTGTCCTAACCCAGGAAGAATGGAAGATAGAAAGATCACACTGAAGACACAGAGCTTGGGAGAACAAATGGAATCAAGACCTTACTCTTTGGGTGGGAAAAGAAAAGCAATGACTGGACTGGGTGGGCAATGCAAAGCTTTCAAAACCCTTCAACATGAGGAAACAGTTCTCCTTCCTCTCTGGCTTCTTTTAGCCAGCTGGCCTTCTTACTAGACATTTTCTCACACTGGAACTCCTTTGCAATGTCTGCATTACCATGCAGTACTGAATGAATGGGAGAAACCCCAAACTGAGACCCAAAAAAAAGAGGATCATTTCTGAAACTTGCAACTCTAAGAATAAATAAGCTATCCTTATTCTATTCATTTTATAGGATATATACAGAATAGGTGGCTCAGGCTAGCCTGATCTTTTTAGAACTCAGAATGTCTGCAGGGTCAGACCTGATAAGAACTTGGATGGGAGACTACCCAGAAGCTCCAGGGTTGTTATGCAGAGGCTAGCAATGACAAACCATGTCTGAACCTCTTTCCCAAAAAAAAATTTCCCTAAAAATCCTGCAGTGTTAACTGCAAGTTAGCTGTTTCTTGATGACATTTCCCATCACCACAGTATTAGCGTTAAAGTAAAGGTAAAGGTTCCCTTGCTCGAAAGCCAGTCGAATCTGACTCTAGGGTTGCGGTGCTCATCTCCGTTTCAAAGCCGAAGAGCCAGCGCTGTCCGAAGAGAGGACTGCATTTGAATTACTCTCTTTTGACCTTTGCTTATTCCATTGTTGTTTCAAAAAAAATGCCTGCACTCATATCTTAATTCAATTTCTTAGCATGCTGAATTGGAGTAGATTGATCTATGTACCCACCTTCTCCCTATTCAGTCATGCTTATCAAGGAGAAATAACGGGAGCAGGCTGTAGGTGGGTTTCAAGTCTGTTTGTATTTCCATGAATTGGCTAATGTGAACAAAGCAGAAATTATGGTAGCAAGGCAGAGCCTTTAAGCATCAACCCAACTAAAAGTGCTGGAATACTAATCCTTCAGCAGGGAATATCTTTAATGAATAAAGGGTGGCACCCCAAGATAAGTCGGTTCCTCTAGGAGAAAGTGGAGAGGGGCTTTACAGATCAGAGACCTGGTCTGCCTGAGGAAGTACAGGGTTCTTTCAATGGCAGAAATGAGACCTGCATGACCATTTCCCCACAGTGATTAAATACACTCCTGGGGGGGGATGATTTGGATATATAGTTGGATGTAACCAGTTTCCATCCATCTTACTGAATTTCCTTTCGCACCACATCCCCCTTCCCACATTATGTTTATATACATAGCTCCCATTTTCTCTTTGATTCTGCATACATCTGCCACTTCTCTCTAAGCTGTTCTCTACCTCAAACTCAAGAAAACATAGAAAATAAGCTACAAGTAAATCCATGCAAGTGTTTGTATCGTTTGACCATCATATTTGAAGTATGCAGTTTATTTCAAGTGACACTCAGCATTCTGCTCTCATTGAGATAGTGAACTGTGAACAAGGCTGAAGCATGAAGAACTGTGGCATTTTTAGCTGAATGGGTCCTGTTGCCCTACAAGGTGCTTATTGTGCTCTTATGGACTCAAAGTTCATAAGTGATAAAATCTGGACTGTGCAACCAGTGTGTAAAGAGGGACTGAACTGCGTGGTAACCCTGAAGTGATGCTAGCTGCAGACACACTCCAGCAGAGGAAAAGTCTTCCCCTGAGATGATGTGCCAATGGCTCCTGTGGTTACCTGGACCAGTCCCCTAGCCACGTGAAGCACCATGAAGCCATCAACCAATGCTGGTTTAAACAAATGCTATGCCAAGGCAAAAGACCAGAAACTTGGAATCCAACCTCCATGAAGAATGCCTTCATTGTCACGCAGGCAACCTTCTTCCCTCACCCCACCCAGCCTCGCCTAACAAGAAGCCTCGCAGCCATAAGTTAATCAAGGGACTGACATATACAATGACTTTGGCTGCATTAGTCATCACTAAGGTGCCACTGCCCAGAGTAACTAGAACTCAATATTGCCCAATACCTAGTCCCCCTCCCCTGAAACCAGTTCCAGCTAGCATGTTTTGGGGACAGACCAGAAGGGGATTTGCCAGGTGAGGTGATCAGTATAGCCCACACTCAAGCCCCCCTCATAAAAGAGCTGGCCCGGCCTTCTGCTCTCTTTCTCTCTCTCTCCTTACCTCTAAACCCACCCTACCTCCATGACTCTTGGTTTGCACAGCCAGAGTCTCCACGTGTTCCGCTGGTCCAGAATACGACCCCTGTTCCTCTTAGTCTCCCTTATTTTTCCTGTGGATTGCATCATCATGCTTAGGAAAGGTAAATATTGCCCCTCAACAAGACATCCTGCTCATGCAAATGTTGCTATACTTTTCTATCTAATTTTCCTAGATCTGTGTAATTGTGAGCGTGTTTGAGAAATTGTATGCTTGTGAGCTATCATCAGTAAAGAAACCATTTCATTTTGAAGTTGGTCTCTGCATCTATTTCTGGTGTTTCTGGAAGAAGCAGGACCCCTGTATATATAGGTGATTGCTCCCTTATTTGCCAATTGCCATTTATAATATAATAAATCCCCAAAGTTATTAACAATCCATGGCAATTTGGCTAACAGTCAACAAAGAATGGAAGAAGATGAATTCAGAAATGGTTTCTGAAGATATAGTAGGCTGTACATATTGTATCCTCTTCCAGTCCCCAGATACATGGTTTTCTTTCTACCTAAGATATTTACCTGCCATGGTGGTTGACTGAAGAAGTTACATTGCTTTTTTTCCATCATCCTTTGGTGTCCATTACAGGATGAAAGCAGGGCATGTAAAGAATGTGCAACAGCATAGACAGCATTGTAGACACTGTAGCTGGGGCCAGTCAGCCTCATATCAAAGATATCTGCCGGAAGGCTCTCCAGTTTCTCCTGTCCAGTGCAATTTTTCCCAAACTCCTTCCCCAGTGGTGAATCTGAGAAATGACAGAGGAATGCCTGCTCCCAGAAATCCCTGATGAAGCCATCTCCTTCACTCATATGAGGCTTTCTGTTCTGAAGAAATCGCTGAAACCCTGGTGGTTGATTGGCATGAACTGTGAAGGATATAGCACCATGAAGGATCTGTTTGTCCCAATTTCTTTGAAAATAATAGGACACAAAATCCATCTGAATGGTCGTAATATATACTTTCCCTTTAAACTTTGCAGTTGTGAATTCTGTCTCTGACAATTTTATACACCATCTCATATATGAGACAGTGTCAGTGTCTCCATAAAGGACAACTGCATTGGCTTTACTCTCCATTACAACTTCAAATATTTGCAGTCCCTCTTGCATCACAGTAAAATAATAATCTATGCTTGTGACCTGTAGGATTTTTTCTATGAAGGCCAAACAGATGCCATTCCAAAAAAACAGAGGAATCAGGGCTTGCTGAAATCTTTCTCCACATTCGTCATCCACAACAATGATCCCAATCCACGTCCACCTGAAATGCAGAATTAAGTGGAGAATCCCCTTGTATTGTTTGACTTCATTTGGGGCCATACAGTAGGTTGAAAGGCCTGGTGATATTTCATTCATTACTGAAGCAGTGCCATAGATGAGCTATAGGAATTAAACATTGGAAGGGAAATTCAGAGAATGAGATTGAATAGGTTTCAAAATACCTCTGTCTGTGTTAAAGAGTAGTGCCCACTTTCCAGTTGGATCTCTAGCAAACAATCAAAGACAGATCTATGCTTCATTTTGTGGTACTTTATGAATAAGGGATGGAAATAGTTTCATTTGCTTGGAATGTGAAAGGCATGGAGCTAGATGGATACATCTGATGAATTTAGTTTTATTACTATGAAAGGTTATTCTGTCATAAATGCAGTTACCCTGTAGCGGCAAAATATAACAGGAGTGCAGTGACAGCTTTATGATGATCACAGCTACCCATTTAGATGAACTGAAGTGATTTGTTGGAATGGAAAGGCCCTATTTCTGAATTTAAGACGTGTGTGTTTAGAACCAATGATTCTTCCTTTAAATACTCTATTATTTTCTTAAATTTGCTTTTTTATATGGTGGATCTTTCAATCATGTAAGTCTGCAAAATATGATGTGGGAGGTCATATTCTGCATACCCAGCCTACCTGTGGAATCTTGTAGATAGCTAACACACTTGCTATGAGGAGGGAAGTTTCAGCTTCGAGTCCTCCAATGACTGCTATAAGACTGTTCTGGAAGTCACACTTGTAGTTGGGGACAAATCTGTTCTTTGTCGAGAGAAGTTCTACTGTGGCACGATAGGTCTCTCTTGAATTGAAGTAGCTGTTCCAGATGTGGAAGCCCAGAGTGACATTGGGTAAAATCTGGAGGTTTTTATTGATTTCCTTCACAGCAAATGCCATGGCCAAGACATGTTGATAATGATTAGTCAGTACACTACAACAGGAATAAGAAACCAGCTAAGCAAAATTGTTGTAATATTATTTTGCCTCATACTTACTCTTACTAGAAACATTGATGGTAATGGATTGGGTCAAGTTATAATGAGATTGTCTATACTCCATTCAATTTAAAATACCTTCCCTCTCTCAACCAGAGATCCTTTTTTGTGTATTGTAGGCAATTCTCTCATCTTTCAATATCCCGTTAGAGAGTGAATACTGTGAGACTCTAATGCAAATATTGGAGGGGGAATATTGAAGTTGGAGATAAAGTCCTATTTTGGTATGCTAAGTCTGTCTTGCATTGATGTAGGGTTTTAAAATGGGGATGTCTAGAATTACACTGGGGAAGATCTAGTGGTTTTCATTGATTTCATTCACAGCCAATGCCATAGCCAAGATATGTTAATGATAATTAGTCCATACGTTACAACAAGAGTCAAAGATCAAATAAGCAAAATTGAACTAACATTATTGTGTGTGATGCTTAAGTACTCACATCTTCCTAGAAATATTTTCTGTGGTAGTTGTACAAGGGATTGGTTCAAGCAACAGTCAGAATCTCTCAACTCCATTTCATTTCAAATTCTAATCCAGATATTGTTTCTGCATATTTTAGGTGATTCTCTGTTCTCACTAGACAGTGAGTACTCTGACACTCTCTAATGTAATTAAGCTCTAATGTCCTATGGAAACTGGGGAAAAATACTCAAAATAGCAGTGTTCTCTTAACTATTAACCTGGAACTGCTAATTGGAAATCCCAAAATTTCTGTCCAATCCAATGAGCAATCTAGCAATGTGGGGATGGGTACAACCTAGATTCAAGTACTATATCTAATCAACTAAGATTCCACTATCATCCTTATTTGCACCCAATGAATATATTCTGATAAGTAATAAGTTTTCTATTATAACAGAATCTAAAAGCCTAAGAAAAGGTTTTTTCTTTCCATATAAGGTCACAGTGGACAATAGTCAGTGTCCCTCTCTTCCCTAAAGAAACATGGGATAGAAATGAAGTGAAAAGTTCAAAATTAATTTTTACATTTCTAGATTATATGCCATGTGAACAATTTGTCAGCTACTATCATGACATGCAATGGTAATAGGCATAAGTGGGGGGAAATCCTCCTTACAAGGGGGTCTCGTATGACATATAATTGGGCAGTTCCCTGAAATCCATCATTGTTGAAATCACATAGATAAGAGAACTAATTCCCCCGACGAAGAGTTCTCCTTCTTCATAATATTTGAAAAGACTTGAGAGGGGTTCACAGGTGGTACATTTAGCATCATAAACCTTGCACATGGATGGACACAGCAGCAACATTTGAACCAACACCATGAGTGATCCCATTCTGCAATTGATTTGTGTCTTCTCATGTAAGTATTGGAGTCCGTCCAATTTGCAGCACTCAGACTAGCATGATCTCCTGCATTTGATTTCACATAGCATAGATCAGATTGATAGAACCCTGTCTTCCCCTGCCCTTCCAGCAACTTACAACGTGAAAGGCTGTATTTATAGTGTAATCCGTAGATATTTTTTTCCTCATGACAGTTTAAACACCTTGGGGACTCTGACATGAAGTAATCTCAAGAATGTTGATAATTACAGAGAAGATAATCACACTTTACCAGGTTGTCTTATACCAGATGGGAAAATATGTTTCTCAAAACTTTTCTCCTCTCTTTAGTGGACTGCTAGGCATAGGTGTTGTCCCCAGAATCCAACTGGAACGAAATCCCCGAGAATTGTGCTTCTCATGCTCTGCATGCTCTGTGAGCTAGATTAATTTGTTTCAAAATTATTTTTCTAGTCTATATGTACCTTTCCCCCCAATATACATGAAAAAGCTGGGCAGGTTGCTTTGGGAAATTGGTTCACACCACTAAGCAGAGTGAGCTGGGATGGCTTTGAATACCCCTGTTGTATCAACTTGAAACTGGTATCTCTGCAGTTTAGTAAACTGACCTGACCTGACCTTGGCCTTAGAGATAGAGTCCTGTCCTTGGGAGGAGTGGCCTGGCCACCCACTTCTCCCTCCTATTCCTGGTAAAAAGTAGAACCCGTCCCCCCAAAAAAAATCTCTTCTGGAATTCGGATGTTATTCTTCAGACAGGCAATTAGAAAGGCCAAACCAGTTGCCCTCCCCTCCCCAATGCCACACATAGTGATTACTGGTAGGGAAAATAGGGAAAGTATTGCAGCCACCCAGAAAGCAACTGGAGGCAAAGCCACTGATGGAATATGGCACTCCGGCAGTCAGGAACAATTGGGATTCTTGATCTGCAGTGGTGGGGGATATGTCCAGTGGTGCTGGAGCTGTGCTCACTTAATCTCAGGAGTTCCAAAAGCATGTCAGGAGTTTGATGACTCCTCCTGCCTCACTCACAACCCAGCTGATCTGTGTAATGATATGTTGCTATGAAAAACAGGAATGGGCCATAAGGACAAACCAAAATGATATTAGGAAATGAATTACTTTTCTGAGATGGAGTGACCTGAGGCTCAAGTAGCCAGGCTTGCAATGGAATGGGTGGTCCTAGGATGAGTGGATGTACAAGCGGAAACTGACAATCCAGTCACAGAGCAATGATCCCATTCCAAAGGTGACAGTGGGGTGAATGACCCAAATAGCAACCTGGGTAGTAATGAAGCCAATGCACCAAATGTGTTCCCATATGTGCTTGCCTTTAGTGTGACCCCTGACATCATGCCTCACCACTGAATCCTCCAACTACCCATCGGCCTGCTTTGTGGCCCAGGAAAGCTCAGTTATCAGTTTGGTGTAGTGGTTGGGCATGTGAACTCTAATCTGAGAGAACTGGGTTTGAGTCCCCATTCCTCCTCCTCATGCAGCTGCTGGTGTGACCTTGGGTCAGTAATAAGCTCTCAGAGCTGTTGTCTCAAGAGCAGTTCTCAAGAGAGCTCTCTCAGCCCCACCTACCATACAGGGTGTCTGTTGTCGGGAAGGGGAAGGGAAAGGAGATTGTAAGCCGCTCTGAGACTCCTTTGGTTTAAGGTGCTAGATAAGTAGTTAGCCTCTTATGGTTTGTCTAAACTATATTTGTGTTCTATGGGTTATGAAAAGGCCAAGTCTATTGTGAAACAGAGAATACTAGCTATCTCAAGACAACACAATTTAAATATGATAGAGAAATGGTGAGTCCTTCTGGCTCCAGATAACAGAGGAATCCCTATGCCTTGCCTCTCCTGTTTAGTAAATCAGGACTACAGAAGAATGTTTACACTAATGCGTTGGGATGTACTCCCATCTGCAGTCCTGGAAGGAAAATTTAACAAGACTCCTTATAAAGAAAGGATATGCCCCTGTTGTGCGTATGGTATTGAGTCTATAGAACATGTAATTTTTGATTGTAAAGCACATAATAACATCTGTGACTCTCTTCCTTTCTCTAAGACAGTCTTGCATGGGCAAAGAATCTGCCTTTTAAGAAATTTGCTGTCGGATAGGCGGACAGAAGTTACTCATCAGGTGGCTTGGTCTGGATGGCTTGCCCTAAGAATTAGAAAATTTATAGTAGCTCAAAAGCGAATTAAGATTTAGTTTTATTAATTTTAATTATTATGGTTTTATGATGTTTTTATAACCAGTTTTAAAATCCTGCTTCTATTTTAGTGTGATATCTATCATCCAAGTTACAAAATGCCATCGGTGTACGTGTTGGTCAATGACTGTAAATAAAACTTATCTACCTTTCGGTACTGAAAGGTGGGGTATAAATCCAATCTCCTCCTCCTCCACCTCCTCCTTCTGGGGAACTCCAGCAGCCATTGGTGGATGATCATGTTGCAGAGGATGGCACACATGGTGAAGAGCTTAGCGACTGTCAGGTGCTGCATAGTCCTGCATCCTCCCATACAGTGGGGGCAATGAAACCATATCTTCAACTAGTCTTCAGGATAAGGTGTCAACAAATAGGGGAGGAGGGTTTATCCACAGTCTCCTGACATAGATGGAACAATATGCCTGTGACCATGGTAAATCCTGCCCAGATGGGTGCCAGCTTCACCTCTTCTGTTGGTACCCAGGAAGCAGTACAAGCAGCAGCTCACCAATGGCTGGGACACCTCCAAGGCCTCTGCTTTGACCCCTTGGAAGGATCCAGTGGCCAGGAACCTGAGGGAGAGCAGGACCTTCTTAAGACAGGGATGGCATTGGGGGCAGGAGCTTGACTTTGGAAAGCTGGCCCGAGCTCCTCACACATAACTGATAGCCCTTCTTTCTTCCTTTTTTGCTTTGGACATCCTTGCTGTCTTTGGAAGGCACAGCCCAAGAGAAAATAAAACTAGGCATGCCAAATTGGGACATTGTCCTTTTCCTCTCAGTCTCACCCTGTCATATTCGTTACTACAAACAGTTTTTACACTTTCCACAGATGGATAGATCTTTTTATCATTACAGACTAAGGGATCCCCCCGTTAGCTCTGCTTTCCAACCATGTAGCACCCTTTGCTCAACATATTTTATGGTGCTTTAAATACCAAAGGAAGAAGCAAAAGCGAGAGAAACAATCTTTCGTTGTTCAGCTGGAGGCAAAATTTGATATATAACAAATGTACCCAGTTTTTGTAGAGATATTCTCTGACAGGATGGACCTCTCTTTTTAAATTTTTTTGCACTACAAGTCCCACCAGCATTCTGAAGCTGATTGTTGTGTAATCCCAGGCTTTAGTTATGTGTGCTAAAGATGGACAGACAGACAAACAGACAGACTGAGAGATGGAATCTTTTATGACAGATTACAGTTGTAACCATAGTAATTCACATTATTTCCCTTTTATTCTTATCAGATGTTCCCTGTTGTTCAGCTCAGGCCGCAGCAAAATAATGTAACATTTGGGGGCAAAGATACAACCCAGAAGGCCAGCACTGGAGGCTAATATCGAGAAGATCTCCATGGCCACCATGGTTTTCCCCTTGGTACTCAGGTAGGTGGGAACAAAAGACATCCAAACGCTGCAAAAGACCAAGAGACTGAAAGTGATAAATTTGGCTTCATTAAAACTGTCCGGTAACTTCCTGGCCAAGAAAGCCACCACAAAGCTAACAATGGCCAAGAAACCCATGTAGCCCAGGACACAGTAAAACATGGTGACAGACCCCACATTGCATTCCAGTACAACGGCTTCAGTCTCTGAGTTCATATCAACATCCAGAAATGGGGGAGAGGTTACCAGCCATGCAAAACAAAGCGCTGCTTGGAAAAGGGAGCAGGAAATCACAATGGAATTGCCCACTCTTTTCCCCACCCACTTCCTTAGGCTGCTTCCTGGTTGGATGCTTAGGAAAGCCAGAACCACCATGACCGTTTTTGCCAGCACGCAAGAAATGGCAACCGAGAAGACCATGCCAAATGTGGTTTGTTGGAGGAGACACGACACCAGTTGTGGCTGACCAATGAATAGCAGAGCACAGAGGAAGCACAGGAGGAGGCAGATCAGGAGAGAATAGGTGAGGTTCCTGTTGTTGGCTTTGACGATGGGGGTGCTGTGGTGCTTCATAAAGACTCCTAGCACCAAAAGAGCAATGAAAGAAAAGGAAAGGACAACAGTCACTAAAGTGATCCCCAAAGGTTCTTCGTGGGACAAGAAAGTGACACCTTTGGGAATGCATTGATTTTGTCCCCTGTTTGGGTAATGATCTTTTCTGCATTCGGCACACTCATCCAAGTCTGTAAAACAGAGAGGGAGGGTTCAGAGAAGAAAGGACATCTTCAGTGTTCTCCACATCCTGTGTACCTGTTCCTATACCTCATACCTCAAGAGGATCCTTTGGTGAAGATCGCAGCATCTGTATTTCACTCCACAACCAATTCTTCTATGTATGACCTGTGGGGGCTAGGTTGAACAAGCAGGACATGTGCGAGGAGAAGATTATTTTACTCCCCTATTGAAATACCAATGGTAACTTAAGAGAGACTGAATAGAGTAAAGGATGTCTTTTACCATGGAAAATGACCAAAGCACTCATGCAAAGATCTCAGAAGATGGGGAATTCATGCATGTTTGTTGTTACTTAGTATAAGTAAGCATAGACAATACTGGTATTATTGACTGAAATGTTTATACCCCACTGATCTCCCCAATGGTGATAACAGAGCCTTAGAACATCATTCTCTCCTCCTCTGTTTTATGCTCACAACAAACCTGTGTCTTGGTTAGACTGGGAGAGAGTGAGCTTCGATGGCAGAATGGGTCCTGCAAACCATACTCCAGCGCTCTATGTACTAAATGGCACTGCACCTCTGGAAGAAGCCACAAGGTAGTGATGAAGGCCAGTGACACAGCATGAGCAGAACTTCCTCCCCTCATGAAACTGGGTCCTAGGGGAATATTGCCAGTATTGGGAGTATTGGTAGCTTTCAGTGAGCTAGGCCCCTACACACTTACTGTAGGTTGTATTGTTGTAGAGATTGTGTTCCATTGTAGGATTTTCTTTCTTTAAAAAGTGCCAGCCTCTCAAATGTTGGGTCTTATAGAGAGAACAACTGGCCAAAGGCCATGCAGTAAAGAAGAGGTGTACTTGTCTACCAGTGCCCTCCTGCACCAAACCTACAGTAAGTGGGTAGGGGCCTAGCTCACTGAAGTTCTGCTCCCCATGGTAAAAGACATCCTTTACTCTATTCAGTCTCTCTTAAGTTACCATTGGTATTTGGGGACATTGATGTAAACTAAGAGAGCGGAGGAAGAATGAGGCAAAGGTTCCATTAAAGTTGTATTTTGAAAAGTATATGGGACTAAAGGTGTGCATTCGGTAAAGCTGAATTGAAAAAAACCTGAAAAAAACCCCTCTGAGTCCTAGTACAAATTTGGTGTCCCTACCTCAAACCACCCCCCCCCGCCCACTGAATACTCCGAAGAATAACTCTGCAATGGCCCCATAGGATATAATGGAGCCGATTTTTTTCGGTATTCCTGAATATTTCTGGATACCAATAAATTACTGGTATTTCAGTCAGGAATACAGAAAAAAATGGCTTTGTTATACCCGAATCCAAAAAGGCTGATTTTCCCCCCTGCACACACCTTGATATGGGACACTAAAAAAAAAGAGATTCTTTTTGTGCTCAGCCACCTGCAGTTTGTACCTCATCAGTTTACACTGCCAATTAGGAATTGCCTCCCTTAGCTGTGTAACAATATCTCAAAGCATAGGAAATAAAACTATTGTGGGTTTTTTAATTGATTTATATATTTCAATTATAACCTGGCTTTTTACAACCTGGCTTTTTTTGCAACTAACATCATTCTCCTGTCTTCCATTTTATTCCCATCAAAATTTTGTAAAGTAGTGCTGGTTTGGAATGTGTGACTGGCCCATGGTGACCCAACAAGCTGCAATGGGAGAATGGGGATTTGAACAGGGCCTTCTAAGTCCTACGTCAAAACTCAAACCACCACACCAATGAGATCCCGCCTATGCTTGGAAGGGTGCCACTTTGCTCAGGATTGGGCTGCAGATCTCTTACCCTTCTGATCAGAAATCTTCCCTTCTGGGCATGGTGTGCAGTCATAGCAGCAGAATGGCTCCCCCTCCTTCTTTTTCTTCCTGGAACCTGGATGGCAACTTTCACTGCAGACAGAAAGGGGCTGTGTCTAAGGTATAAATGAGGCAGAGAAACTGACTGTAAGTATTGGATCTAAAATAACACTATGTTTGTTCCTCCAAATCGAGGCTGTGTCTAATGTACAAGTGAGGCAGAAAAACTGACTAAGCATTGGATTTAAAATAACATTATGTTTGTTTCTTCAAATCGTCAATAGCCTAGGACATTCGCTTCTCATCTGTGGATTGTTTGCTTCATTCACCACCCAATTCCTTATGTTAAATTACTTCTTCTGGGCTGTTACACATTATGGACATGATGAAAGATTACATTCTCAATCTTCGATCTGATCTGAGCTTCGGTGGGCAGAGTCGCCAGCTCTGGGTTTCAAAATCCCTGGAGAATTGAGGGGTGGGGCCTAGGGAGGATGAAGTGAGGGAGAGCACTTAGGGTGCATCATGAACCAGGAAAAGAACAGCAAGTCCCTCCACTGGGTGCCAGTAGGGCAGTCCCCACCCCTGACTATGTGTGGCCATAGATAGGTATAAAAAGTAACTGTAAGCCGCTCAGAGCCCCCTTGGGGGGGGGTTGAGCGGGATACAAGCCGAAAGCATAAATAAATAAATATTGATTTGCACTTGGAAACTACCCTTTTCTCCAGGGGAACTGATTCCTGTAATCTGGAGATTGGTTGTAATCTCAGGAGAACTCCAGGCTACTCCTTGGGGTTGATTAACCCTATACAAGGAGTTAACATGTTTGACTGTCCTTTTTTTTTAAAAAAAGTGCACATGAGAAGGTATTATGCCAGAGAGAGATCTCCTATCACGCTTCTGTTCCAATCACAACTTTGTTGTGTAATATGACAAGTACCTTCATTAAGACAAAGAAATAAAACCTTGGGGTTGTCTGAAGCTTTTTTTTTTTACTCTATCTCACGCAGTTCTTACTACAGTTCCCTGCCATGGGTCCCAGAACCTCCCACATTTGCTTAACAAGGAAAGAAGACATTAAGAGAGAAGTGGGGGGGGGGAAGAGATGGGGAAAACCCTTTCTTGCCCTCTCTTAATTAACCCACAGTTATTATTCCTCCTGTTACATGGTATCAAATGAGTGTTTGCTCTTGACATTGTTCTCTTTTTTAAAGCAATGAGGTAACAAAGTACATGTTAGTATAACATACTTTTTGGTGGAACTTTTCCCAGGTTACCTTGTTAAACCAGCTGTTCCATGTGATCCTCTCTTCATTAATGGTAAGCATTTGGTCTGCAGGAGCTTCTGGATGAACCTCTCCAATTTTCATTTTTAAAAAAGAGTTATTTGGGAAAGCAAGCCAGTTCATAATATCATACCCTGTTGCAACTTCTCCACTGGTATCAAATGAAATCTTCTCTCCAGCACTGTTATTAAATGAGACACTTTTCAGAAAGTGGTGAAGCTA